TTGGATGGCATATAAAAACTTTAAATAAATTAATGAATCAGGGCAGACCTCTCTCAACCAGCTTCCTCTCAACCTGGTGCCTTCCAGATGCTTTGCACTACAACTCCCATCCTACCCAGCCAGCGTGCCCATTACGTTGCCTGGAGTAAATGCATATGGAGGGGGCCAAGGAGCAGAAAGGCCACCTGTGCCCCTGACCATCTTGCAAAAGCAGCAAAATCCAATGAAAAGAGGCAGCTTGGCATGAGAGCAGGGCACACAAGTGCAGATGACTTCTAGGACCCCCTTCAAGGCCCAAAGATGGGGGTGGTTTGGGGCTGAGATTCAAGGGCAGGAACTCTTCATGGGGGGGGGACACCAAATCCGCCTGCAGGAGGTTCCCCACTGGAGATCCCACCTCCCCAGTGCCATCTGGGTAGGGCAGCATGTCTTCTCCGGCGATCTCATGCCTTCCTCTGAGCAAACAGGGGCGGTGGGTGCCGGCAAGACTGGAAGCAAGCGACACCACTGAGCGCAAATCCTGGGTGGGATTAGCCACCGCAGCTCCTCAAAACGAATCAAAACGAAAAAGAAATCCTGCAGTGCAGCGAGGACCGGCTTGCCCAGTCACCGCAGACGGGTGAGTTGGAAGGAAAATGAGAGAAATGTGCGGAAAATGCAGAGGGGTTTCTGCTGCAGCGTTTCATTGCAGCGGCCACGTGCGGTACATGAAGTTCTGGCCTCCAGTGTGTGCAGATGGGAACAGCGCTGTGATTCTCAACTAGCCATGCTGGTTGGAGCATGCTGGGAATCGGAGGCTGTGCCTCCTTCCTCAACATGTGTGGACTGGATTGGGCGTGTGATTTGCTGGAAGCACACCAATGCATGGCCGTACCACTGTCGTGGCAGTATTTTTACCAGGGAGAATGGTAAAAATGCCCTTTTCCATTAAATGGGGCTTATATCTTGGATGAACTGGATAATAGAGCTGAGCACTTCAGCAGGAGCTTCTAATGATAATTTTCTGATGATGCGGGGGCAGCATTGAAGAAGCACCCTCGAGAGCCTTTGGGATCCGTGATAAAACCAACAAATTACAGTACCGTTGATGTGCCTGGTTATGGGACCTTTGCGCAGGGAAAGCACCACAAAGGGACGTGTGGACGCGAATGCCATCCTGCGTTTCACGGAGTACCAGTTGCCTTTCATTCCAGAATGAGGTTATTTCCATCTCGTGCATTTGCCGTCATGCGCACTTGCGCCAGTTCGCACTCCTGAAAATGTGGAAATCCCCCCCCCCCATTTTCATGCTCTAACTCATAGGGAAGTGACCCTCTTTGGTCAGTTTTTAAAAATAGCTTTTGCTTTTTCCCGTGGCCAGGCTTGCATACACGTACAGAAAATTAAAAGACAGTCCGTGTGTCCACAGAATCCGGGCCCCTTGGGGAAGTGTGGTCTGCTGCAGAATCAGCAGGGCAGAGCTGCAGAAATCCACTTTTCTGAATTCGTGGTGGATTTCTTCGGCACCGTGGGTTCAGTCCTGGGCATCTCCAGATGGGTCGGCAAGACCCCTTTCCGGCAGCCTTGCAAGGGCTCGTCTCAGTCCAGGCAATGCTGAAGGAGCAAGGATCTGACTTGGACACTGGCAGCTTCCGCTGTGCCTAAAAACCCTTGGATATTTTGCTGGCAAATATTTCCTGGGGGCTTTCTGCACATTGGTTGTGACTGGGACGCTGCTGTCACGACTGCAGTGGGCACACGAGCGATTGCCCTTTTCTTGGCCCTCTCCTTGAGTCGGCGGGACGTGTCCCCCTCCAGAAGGAATGTCGTCTGCCAATCTCATCTCAAATCTGATCACGCCTCCAGCCGCGGTTGTTTTAATTAAACTCCGAGGAATTCTGCACAATGCACCACAAGATTAACATTTTTGTTTAATTAGAAACACTCGGTAATAATAGTTGTCACGAGGCTTCCCTGATGCTCTCCATCTCGGCCCCCTCCGTCTCGCTCGCTCTCTCCCTTGAACGAATAATCTACACCCTGTCTGTCAAAAGGGGCCGTTCTATCTCTTGGCAGATTAATTAGTTTGAGAAATTAACAAGCGCCATTCAGGCCAGGAAGGGGCGGTGCTGGGCAGGACTGGAAGTTGGGAGCATCCGTGCATGATGTCACCTGCAGCGAATGGGCTGTGCTCTCCGCTGCTCAGCGGAGGGTGGGGTGTTAAAAGATGCATGGAAAATTATTAATGGCAGGGAGAGAATGCAGCATCTCTCATATGCTCTCTCATGCTCTCTCATATGGGCAAAAAGGGTAAAAATGAAATAACAAGGGTGGCATTATGAAAACAATATAAGTAGCAATCGTACAAGCAATAAACCAGAGGCTGGCAAACTGTGAAATGGGTCAGCAAGCAAAACCAGTGCAGTCCCTTCAGGTGCCTGGGCAGAAGTATGATCATCATTTATTGTATTTATTATCATGTGCATCATCGTGATTCTTATTATTTGTCTAGGCACATTAGTCAAGTATTTGGAAATTTAATAATATATTAATACTCTTAATGATATTAATTATTATTACCTATTATTCACAGTTGGGGAGGATTTGTCATTTACTTTTCAGCTTTGTAGGGTGCTTTAATTCCAGAAACAAAAGGCACCATCCGATCTTCAGAACAGTACTCATCTGACACATGAGTCATTCAAATAATGACAAACAAGGTAGCGCAAGCGGGAAAAGCGTCTGCCCGCCCAAGGTGCCTTGCCCCACAAGGAAGAAGCAGGGCTGCTCACCACCTACAAACATGCGCAGAGCTGGGCTTAAGGCAGCCCGGCGCGCTGCCCTGTCATGCAAACCCAGTCTCTGTTTCGGAGCAACAGGTCGACCCCATCTGGTAGGCTGGACGAGCACATGGTGTGCATGTCATGAGCGGAGCTGGCTGGAGCCGGGGGTCAGACTAGATGGCCCGGGAGACCCCTTCTGACTTGCTCTGTTTCTGTGTTTCTATGCTTCCTCTTCCTGCCTGGTCAAAGGCACAGACCCTTAAAAATCAAGAATATGAGAAAAGCAATGAGGCATCAGGCCCCGACTCCATCTTTCCAGACAAGTCCCACAAGCAGGACAGAAGTGCAACAATACTGCCTCACCCCTTTCCCCCAGCAAAGGTGTACATCAGCATACTGCTGCTAACACCGAGGGTAGTACATAACCATGAGGACTAGCGCCTTGGATTCCTGTCTCCTCCATGAAATGGTCCAGTTCCCTTTTAAAGCTGCCCAGATGTGGTGGCCGTCATGACTATCTCATGGAAGCGAATGCCGTGCTTGAACCGCACATTTGTAAAGTAGCATTATTCCATCATTCTTTGTTGTTGTTTAGTCGCAAAGCCGTGCCCGACACATCACGACCTCATGGACAACATTGCTCTAGGCTCTCCCGTCCTCCACCATCCCTCAGAGTCCACCCAAGTTCTTTCCCACTGCCCCAGTGACTCCAGCCACCTCATCCTCAGCCACCCCTTCTCCTTTTGCTGCCCATAATCCCCAGCATCAGGGTCTTCTCCAGGGAGTCCTTACTTACTACGTTGCATTTATACTTTTTCCCTTCTTGCAAGGAACCCAAGGGAGCTAACAAGTCTCTCCTCCCTCCACCCCCTTTATCCTCACACCCTGCGAGGTGGCTTGTTCTGAGAGTCTATGACTGGCCCAAAGGCAAAACCCAGATCTCCCAAGTCCCAGCTCAGTACTTTCTCCACGGTACCACACCAGTGTTCACCAGTATCCTATGGCTTTGTGCACGTATGTACCATAAATTTCCTTGTGACCAGAGACAGGCGAGTGGCTGGGGATGCTGCTTATCGCCACTGCTGCTGCTTGAATCTTCTCTCTTTCGGGCTACCTTGCTATGCTGAACTGTCAGGCTGGCCCTGCTCAGTTAATACACAGAACCTCCTTTGCCGGGGACACCGCGGAAAAGTCCCTCTTCCTTTTATACATCGTACACATCTCCTGCTGGTCTTACTCAGAGGCATTGATGAGAAATGAAGGCTCCTTGGGAAAAGAGGCTCATAGCAGACCCAAGAGCAGTCCCACCCTGCCTGTTGGACCGGTCAATGCAGGGACTCGAACCCTGGAAAGGACCGGAGAAATCACCATCTTTCAAGAAGATTTTAACAGATGTGCTTTTTATTGGCCTTATTTGCTGTTTTATTGCTGTGGCTCGGAAAACTCCTGTTTCACAAGCTCACTGACGATATTTTAAAACATTGCTTGGTGTGTGTGTTCCTGATTTATGATCGATCAGCTGAATATATATATTCCTATACCACCAAGAAGCTTGAAACTCCTGAGTGGTTTGTTTACAAGGGCAGTGGATAAAATACAATAATGTACTAAAACATCTTATCGAAATGTGAGCTTAACACAGAATAAAACTGAAGTGTTAACCCAGATAAAACAGCTGTGCAGAGATCTAAAAACACACTTTCTCAGCTTTAAAACAAACAAGTCAACCTGAAATAAAACGGTCATCACAGATGAGAATCCCAGATTTTTCATTTGGAGCCTTGGGTTCCTGGAAGCGCTCTGCCCCACCATCCTACAGTCCAAGAACCCAAGAGTCTTTGTTGCCTTTAATCCCATTTGCACATGCACTTCTCCTCCTGCTGCCCCCCCCCCGTCTTTCTACATGAGCATTTTTTTCCTGAAATCCCAGGGCCCCTGTCCATATGTCCGTTTTAAAATTTGGGAGAAAGACTCCTTCAATGTCATACAGAGAGAAAGAGAAAGAGAGAGTTATGCAAATTAGTGCATGGAAATTTTCCCTGGGGGGCTGTTTGTTTTTTGCATTCTGGCTTGGCTTTGTCACTTGGTTTGTGGGGTCACTTGGCCTTGGATCTTCTCAGCGCCTGGGCCAGCCCTGCTGAGGTGTGATGACAGAAAACTCCCTCCGGCTCAACCTGACCCTTTGCAAGTCTCCACGTTTGCTAACCTCTCTTCTTTTCGTTGTATCGTTCCGAGCAGAGGATCAGTTGCCCCCTGGCTTCCCAATCATCGACATGGGGCCCCAGCTGAAAGTGGTGGAGCGTACGCGGACAGCTACCATGCTGTGTGCGGCCAGCGGGAACCCCGACCCCGAAATCACTTGGTTCAAAGACTTCCTGCCCGTTGACCCCAGTGCGAGCAATGGAAGAATAAAGCAGCTGCGATCAGGTGAGGAGGCCGCCTGTGTCCGTGGGGAAGCTGCACATGGGGGAGTTCCCCAGTTGCGCGCAACCTGTGCGGTGTTTGTGTATGTGCGAGAGAGCATGGCTTAATGAAGCGAACGCCGCTTTCTCTGGCCAAATTTGCCTTTACAAAGCTGACGCTGCTGTCTCGGAAGGGCAGACTTCCCAAATTGGGCACTCGTGTGGTTCCGTCCCAGAAGCAATTCGTTAAGGGGTGCATATGTTGAAATGACTTTATAGTTGGTAATTTGTGCAGCTTTGCTCTAGTGCCGGCTTAAAAGGCAGCTGTTTTTGGATTCCCTTCATCAGTGTGAGACCAACCTTTTGTAAAAGTAGCCATTTAGAACTTACAGCGAAGACCAGTGTAATATATCTGGTGGAGGGGTGCAAAGACCCATCTGAATCCACATTCCTTCTATCCTTCTGAACTGCCTGACAGAAGCTTTTATTACATATGGAATACCCTGCATTTTTTTTTCTTTTTGCAAAGAGCCCAGTGCAGCTCAGCTGACTGCACAACCACCCTGCGAAGGAGGCTACACCGAGAGTCAGTGACATGCCCAAAGTCACCCCAGTGAGAATTGTGGCCAGGAGGAGTCAAACCAGAATCCCAATTTGGCATTCTACCCATTACACCACACTGCCCCTGCCACATCTACCAAGTCCAATGTACTGTTACTGCCATCAAGTAGCCTCTGACTTAGGGTGACCCTGTGGATGGATTTCTCCTAAAAAGTCCCATTCTTGGCAGCCCAGCTCCGCTTTGCAACCCCTGGCCGTGGCTTCTTTGTATAAAGCGGGCCTCCCTTTTCTGCTCTTGCTTTGGGCTTTCCTTAGCAGGGCTGTCTTCCCCAGGGAGCTTTGCCTTCTCAGGATGTGACCAAAGCGCCACGGCCCCAGCTCTGCTTCCAAGATGTGGCTTGGTTTGTTCCCGTACTCACCTAGTTGTCTTTCCATGAGTCCAGGCTTCTGCAAAGCTCTCCTCCGGCACTGTGCTTCGAATGCTTCGTGCTGGAGGTCCGTTGCACCCTTAAGGGTGGCCCACAGATATTTTGCAGGACTGAACTTCCGCTCCTGGTCTTTCGCTTCTTTGACCAGTGGTGGCTAACGGCTGGGCTAGGTGGACCAGCACCCCAGTCCTGAGACCCTGAGTCATTCAAGCAGGCCCCGCTGAAATGCCACCCGGTCTGTCCCCTGCCCTTCCAGTCCTTGGGGTAATCTAGTGAGAAATCGTAGTGTTTGCACTGGTGGAAAGGCAGCTGCCGTTGGCCCCAGGGTGCCACTGTCAACTGTGGCAAGGGCCTCCTCAGTTCCACAGCCGGCCCTGCTAATGCCCGAAACCCAGTGGCCCACCTAGCTGGATCGGGCAGTGGGTCTGCCCTGCAGGAAATTAAAAGCAGTGAAAAGGACAGGAACAGGCCGAGGGCTCACAGGGACCAGTTCCAGCTGGTCTTCTCCCCACTACCAAACCAGCCCTGCAATGCAGAGCAGGGCCCTTCCACCAATGCTGCTGGACATCAATATTATCCTCTACCCTCCCCATCCCTTTTTCCTCTTTTGTCGCAACTCTAGATCAAGAGCCTGTGGGACTGTCTTACTTATTACAATTTACTGATTCTGTGTAAGCCGTTCTGGGAAACTTTCTTGTGTGGGTGAGGAATGAGATAGAAATACTCTAAATCGTCACTTAACAACCGCTGCCC